GGCACATAACAACAACAGTAACAAAAAGAAGGCAAAATCTTCATCCTTCTGAAGCTACTAATAAATTAGAAAGTAAAAAAATAATACAAAGAAAGCAAGAAAATAATTAAACAATCAACAATCTAAAAGAGAAACATAAGTAGAAAGCAGAGGCCAAGGTTAGAAAAAGCATCAGCATGAAGATGAAAAATGTCTTAGAGGAACAGTAGAGATGCCACAGTGGAAGGTGTGAGAGGTGAATCTCGGGACAGAACTCTGGAGGCCATGGAGGGGAGGAGACACATGGCAGCAGACATGGAGGTTGGAGAGAAAAGATTTGGAGTAGGAAAGTCTCCAAGGCTTTCATAAGACAGAAGTCATGTCCAATCCCATAATTTCTCATGCCTCGTGTCTCTGCATCTACATTCTGTTCTTGGTAGCCACAGAATTCTAAGTCTTAATCTCTGTTCTTAAGTCTACAGAGAGAGAACAGAATGCCCTGTCATCTGCTACTTTCCCCAAAGATCGTGACTCACATCCACCACTGGATGGCTCCGTGACAGCCACAAAAGATAAAGTGGAGAACGTGTCTCGTCTTTCCTGTTGGTGACAGTTGAGGTCAATGATTAGATTTCTAAATCACAGCTAATGGAAAGTTAGAAAATTTGTTCATTTTCTCAGACATGGAGGTGTTCTAATAGGTACAAAGCAATGAGCCACATTCTTTAATGGTAATATCCAAACAACAGTGCCTAGCAACATGGAATGTCCACCAAAAAGGTCACCGATGAACTGGAGCCCAGTTTGGCTTGGTCACTGACAAGCTGAGTGCCCTTGGGTAAGACACCTGGCCTCCCTGAACTCCATTTCTGTTCTGAATAAAAATTATGGCTCATGCCTCTGACACAGAAAACTTTATCTTGATATTATCTGTGGGATAACTTTACATTTAAGGAGGCTAAGGGACATTCCTACACTTTCTAGAGAAAATGCATGATTGATTGTGTAAGGCTGTCAGAGACTGAAGTGTGC